TTGGGGGGGGGGGGGGGGGGGAAAAGAGAGGTCATAGCGATCAGGAAGAGGCGGGGCCAGGAGCTGAGTCTCGACCCCTGCAACCACAATTAGGTGAGTACAATTAGGTGAGTACACGCACACACACACACACACACACACACACACACACACACACACACACACCACACACCACACACACACACACACACACACACACAGGTAACAGAAGGTAACAGAAGTAAGACACGAGAGAGAGGGTTGGGTAGATTGCGTTTTCCCTAGACTGCAGGAAGGCCTTTGACACAGTTCCCACAAAAAATTAGTGCAGAAGCTGGAGGATCAGGCCCCCGTGAAAGGAAGGGCACTGCAATGGATAAGGGAATACCTGACAGGGAGGCAGCAACGAGCCCATGGTACGTGAAGAGGAAATCACAGTGGGCGCCTTTTTACGAGCGGGGTCCCACAGGGTCAGTTCTAGGACCAGTGCCTTTTTGATATATGTGAACGACATGATGGAAGGAAATAGACTCTGAAGTGTCCCTGTTCGCAGATGACGTGAAGTTGATGAGAAGAATTAAATCGGACGAGGATGAGGCAGGACTGCAAAGAGACCTGGAGAGGCGGGACATGTGGTCCAGTAACTGGCTTCTCGAATTCAATCCAGCCAAATGAAAAAGCATGAAGATTGGGGAGGGGCAAAGAAGACCGCAGACAGAGTATAGGCTAGGGACAAGACTACAGACCTCACTCGGGGAGAAAGACCTTGGGGTACAAACCCCGAGCACATCACCGGAGGCACACATCAACCAAATACCGCTGCAGCATACGGGCGTCTGGCAAACCTGAGAATAGCGTTCCGATACCTTAATAAGGAATCGTTCAAGACACTGTAAAACTGTGTATGTTAGGCCCATACTGGAGTATGCAGCACCATTCTGGAACCCACACCTGGCCCAAGCACGTCAAGAAGTTAGAGAAAGTAAAAAGGGTTTTGGCAAAAAGGCTAGTCCAGAGCTCAAGGGAATGTCGAAACGAGGAAAGGTTAAGGAAATCGGACTGACGACACTGGGGGACAGAAGGGTCAGGGGAGACATGATAACGACATACAAGATAACTGCGGGGAAAGACAAGGTGGACAGAGATGGGATTTCCAGAGAGGGGACACAGGGACAAGGGGTCACAACTGGAAAAGCTGAAGACTCAGACGAGTCACAGGGACGTTAGGAAGTATTTCTTCAGTCATAGAGTTGTCAGCAAGTGGAATAGCCTAGCAAGTGAAGTAGTGGAGGCAGGAACCATACATAGTTTTAAGAAGAGGTATGACAAAGCTCAGGAAGCAGAGAGAGAGAGGATCCAGTAGCGATCAGTGAAGAGGCGGGGCCAGGAGCTGAGTCTCGACCCCTGCAACCACAATTAGGTGAGTACAATTAGGTGAGTACACACACGCACACATATGGGAAGACCAGAACGAGTCCTTGGTTTACCCCAAGGTGTAGGGAGGCAAAAGCTAAATGCACAAGAGAATGAAAAGTACAGAAGGCAAAGGACCCAGGAAAATAAGGAGATTAATCGAAGAGCCAGAGACGAGTACGCACAAATAAGGAGGGAGGCCCAGCGACAGTACAAAAACAACATAGCATCGAAAGTCAAGTCTGACCTGAAATTGCTGTATAGCCACATTAGGAGGAAGACAAGTCAAAGACCTGGTGATCAGAATGAGGAAAGAAGGTGGGTAACTCACAAGAAACGATCAAGAGGTATGTTTGGAGCTCAACACGAGATTTAAGGTATTTACAATGGAGACAGGAATGATTCTGGGAAGACAGAACAGAGTGTACAGCATCAAGTAATATACCAACAAGTGTTGGATGACGTACACACAATTGAGGAGGTGAAGAAGCTACTTAGTGATCTTTATACCTCAAAGGCAATGGGACCAGACACCTCCCCGTGGGTCCCTAGAGAGAGAGCATAGACGGTGTGTGTGCCACAAACCACGATCTTCAACACATCCCTCGAAAGTGGGCAACTACCTGAGTAAGGAAGACGGCATATGTACTTCCACTTTTTAGAAAGGAGACAGAAACTAGGCTCTAAACTATAGACCAGTGTCACTGACGTGTATAGTATGCAAAGTCATGGAGAAGATTATCAGGAGGAGAGTGGTACAGCACCTGGAAAGGAACAAGATTATAAATGACAACCAGCACGGATTCATAGAAGGCAAATTCTGTGTCACAAATCTCCTGGAGTTTTATGAAACGGTAATAGAAGTAATGCGCGGAGAGAGAGGGGAGGGTTGACTGTATTTTCTTGGTCTGCAAGATTTTCGACACAGTTCCTCACAAGAGATTAGTGCAGAAGCTATAGGATCAGGCACGTATAACAGGAAGAGCACTACAATGGATCAGGGAATACCTAACTGGGAGGCAACAACGAGTCATGGTAGGAGAGGAGGTATCACAATGGGCGCCTGTGACGAGCGGGGATTCACAGGGGTCAGTCCTAGGACCAGTGCTGCTTTTGGTATACGCGAATAATGTGACGGAAGCGATAGACTCAGAAGCGACCCTATTTGCAGATGATGTGAAGTTAATGAGACGAATTAAATCAGACGAGGATCAGGCAGGACTCCAAAGAGGCCTGGACAGGCTGGACACCTGGTCCAGCAACTGTCTACTCGAATTTAACCCAGGTAAATGCAAAAATTATGATCGGCGTAGGGAAAAGAAGACTGCAGACAGAGTATAGGCTAGGTGGCCGAAGACTGCAAACCTCACTCAAGGAGAAAGATCTTGGGGTAAGTATAATACCTAGAACGTCTTCGGAGGCACACATCAACCAGATAACTGCTGCAGCATACGGGCGCCTGGCAAAACTATGTATATAGTTCTGATACCTCACTAAGGAATCGTTCAAGACACTGTACACGGTGTATATCAGGCCCATACTGGAGTATGCAGCACCAGTTTAGAACCTTCACCTGGTCAACCACGTCAAGAAATTAGAGAAAGTGCAAAGGTTTGCAACAAGGCTAGTTCCAGAGCTAAGGAGAATGTCATACGAAGAAAGGGTAAGGGAACTAGGCCTGACGATACTGGAGGACAGAATCGTTAGGGGAGACATGATACCGGCCTACAAAATATTGCGAGGAATATTTAAGGTGGACAGAGACAAAATGTTCCAGAGATGGGACACAGAAATAAGGGGTCACAATTAGAAGTTGAAGACTCAGATGAGTCATAGGAATGTTAGGAAGTATTTCTTAAGTCACAGAGTTGTCAGGAAGTGGAACAGTCTGGAAAGTGAGGTAGTGGAGGCATGAACCATACATAGCTTTAAGACGAGGTATGATAAAGCTCACGGAGCAGGGAGGTAGAAGACCTAGTAGCGATCAGTGAAGAGGCACGGACAGGAGCTGAGTCTCGACCCTTGCAACCACAGTTAGGTGAGTACAAATAGGTGAGTATACACGCACACAAA